CGTTCGTCGTTCGTCGTTCGACGTTCGTCGTTCGACGTTCGACGTTCGTCGTTCGTCGTTCGACGTTCGTCGTTCGACGTTCGACGTTCGTCGTTCGACGTTCACAACAACAATGGTAATACAACCGCTACATATTTGGTGTTCCCGTCGGAAATAAACAGTAATGGTAACCCCCATCGCTACAAAACCAACGTTTGATCCAGTGCGTTTTACCCCTCAGCCACGGAGAACCTAACAGTATTTAGTTCTTTATTTTTCTGTTCTTAAGGGAAGTACACCCCCTTGATTATTTTCTCAAAAGCTTCATATCTGCCCCGTTTCGAATCTGAAATATAAACAAAGCATCTTCTAAAGAATTAATGGATTTATTTCTAATCCAAATATTTTTTTTTTTATTTTTTCAAATAGTGGATACATTGTATTTGAAATAGATGATCCATTGTTAGTTATTAAACACTGGTATAAAGTGTATCAGACTGAACATTCGACAAATCTTTACGTTTCGAATACGAAACTCAGCCGATATAAATATAATATCTATTGATAAATGTAAAATTAAATAATTCAACGTAACAGAACTTCTGCCAATAAATTGCTTAATAGTAATCGAGGGCATTAATTATTGTATCAGAACTAATTTAAGTTCACAATACTTATCCAAGGTCGAGCCGGAGTTTCGTTATTTCTCATTCGTCAGGACCTCGATGATTGTATTAATCACAGAACGTCTATTTTATCATCTTATAGTTTTTTTTTACATAAGCTAAATTTTTCAATTTTAAAACGCACGCACACATACACACACACAAACACCTATATATATATATATATATATATATATATATATATATATATATATATATATATATATATATATATATATGTGGAAGGAGGAAATAGTTATGGAGAGCCAACCACCACCTTTAAGAGTGGGGCGCTGCAGCCCACCTTTTCCTGCCGACTAGTCAATCTAATAACTATTCAATCTATCTACGCTCTATCTATCTTCTGGCCGATCTAGCAAAGGAATGCGTTTCCGCACGACCGTCAGGTCCAAGCGGGGGCTTTCGGTGATTTAGTCCCGTCGCCTCTGCGTTCTGCTTAGGATCAGTTTGACGTTTTTATTAGATCTCGGTGGTAGAAGCGATCGGATAAGTGGGTTAGGCGCTCCGAAGCATAGGCTGGCGTGTCTGCGACCAGTGTATTAATATTTCGCTGGTTTGCCTCAATGTTCAGATGATGTCACGAATGATCTTCAGTCGATCAGAAGTGAGAGAGAGGGAAAGAGAGAGAGAGAGAGAGAGAGAGAGAGAGAGTTTGAAGTGGCCCGTGTGGGCCGGCCAGCGACTGCAATGCGCAGATACAAACAGTAAAGGTAGCACAGGCTAATATCACATACGCATACAAACATGTCTGTATGACTATATGCATGTATATGAGTTAGTTTCTACACACACACACAAACAGACACACACAATATATATATATATATATATATATATATATATATATATATATATATATATATATATATATATATATATATATATATATATATATATATATATGGATTAACGTCGGTAGACGTGGGCACGCAAAGATTCAGCATTGATTAAGGAAAATCATTACATATGTAATGAGTTCGATTCTCACTTGGTGGTGCATTTGAGTCACGAGGGACAGACTAAGATAAGTTTGTCTCGTAGCGGGAGTAGCAAAGGTTGGTGTTCAAGCCCAGGCTAAAAAAAAAAAAATACGATTTCGAATGGTGATTATCAAGGATTTTGAGATTTTACTCACTTGTAATATGCGTGTCATATATATTTTGTATTTTGTATGTCTTGAAAGTTTCAAAGAAAGAAAGAAAGAAAAAGAAAGAAAAAAGAAAGAAAGAAAGAAAGAAATAAAAAAAAAGAAAGAAAAAAGAAAAAGAAAGAAAGAAAGAAAGAAAGAAAAAGAAAGAAAGAAAGAAGAAAGAAAGAAAAAAAAAAGAAAGAAAGAAAGAAGAAAGAAAGAAAGCAAAGAAAACATATTTAAAAGATAAGAAAACAAACGAAAGAAAGGAAGAAATATGTAAAGAATCCGATCGAGAAAAAAAATCAAAGAAAGAAGACATAAATAAAGAAAGAACGATCTAAGGAATCCGATTGAGAAAATAATGAAAGAAAAGAGAAAAAAAAACTCATTCAAAAAGTAAGGAAACAGATGAAAAGAGAGAAGAACAGCAATAAAGAAAGACATTAATTGCAAGGATATATCATATCATTATGCCTTTCATTATGATGTCACTTTTTCTTCCTCCACTATATAAGAGTTTTTGAATGTCACTACCTGATCCAGAAACTGAACACGCGGCGACAAGGAAATTATGCACATTTAATTAAAGCTTACAAATTACGTCATTGTTCTACGATAATTTTTTGGAGTCTTAAGCATAATTATCTTATGCCTTTGTATGTGGTGTAATGGTTAGCAAACTTGTCGTGCTAGATCCTTTAGGACTGCGTAGAGAGTTTGATCACCCTTGGGTTATCCATACTTTCGGCCATGTTACACATCTAAGCTAGGGTTAATACATTGCCTTAAACATAATGTCTATTCTTTCCACAAATTCAGTCACTGACGATTTCCTCAAAGATGAAGAAGAGATTCGATGTAACAGAGATGTGGTTCTACAGAAGAATGCTAAGAATATCATGGACCGAGCATGTCAGCAACGATGAGGTTGTAAACAAGGAGGAGCTTATACTTAACACCAGGAAGAGGCTGCTGTAATTTCTGGGACATATAATGAGAAAGGAAGGCCTGGAGAATTTGATACTCACGGGTCGAATAGAGGGAAGGAGAGACAGGGGAAAACAACGCATGACATTAATGGCGGACTTAAGCAAGTGGATGACAGAACGTGGTCTGGGGGAGGAAGCAGAGGGAAGGAACTTGTTGAGAGCTGCAAGGGATAGAGGGAGGTGGAGAGCCATGATCGTCTACGCCTGTAAGAACCTGTCACATAAAAAGAAAAGTTCAAATAACTGTATACAATAACAACTCATCCCAGACATTGTTTTTGTCAGAAACTTGTTTTTTACTTTATTTAAGATAAAGTTAATGTTTAATTGAAGATTGTTCTGTATGGTGTCTTTAATTAAATCCTTGGCAATGCATTTCTTTTTTCTTTCTTTTTTCTTTCTTTTATAAGCCCATGATGCGGGGTTTTTTTTTTGCGGGGGGGAGTCCTATGAACGGGAGATCGATTCTCTTCAATGTGACTCTAAATGATATTTTATGATATTTACTCGGGTTATTTCGACTCAAGTCTACACATGTTTACTACACAGTGAGGATCAAACCGAACAAAGAATTAAGAATGCACAATAACCGCTTATCATTTCCCGAATAGTGGCGGAGAGTCTCAAATAATTTGTTCAAATGCTAATGTTTGGTGTGTTCCGGAACCATTTTAAATATACGTTTTATCAAATTAATGATTCAGAAGAAGGTGATGACTTCTTAAAAGTTAGCAATATTTTATTTAAAACCTTGTAAATGCAACCAATTGCATATAAAGATTTCACCATGGGAACATTTAATGTTAGAGAACTCCTTAAAAAGAAAATCGGGAAATGTTGTCTCGGAATATTAATAGAAACCAAAACGAAAGGACTTAATATTAGTATCAGAGATGAACATCACAAGTTAATAGCTTTAGAAACAGGCTGTAAATACTATAGGATTGCTTTTGGCATCAATATTAAATAAAGTGTGTTCCAGTAACTTGGACCGATTTTAAAGGTGAATTAAGTTTAAGCATTTAATGATTTTTTTCTTTTTCTTTCAGATTTAACAACTTAAGTCTTTAGCAATTTCAACCATGAAAAGATTAACAATCAAACAACGTGTTAAAGTTATCGAAACCTTTTACGAAAATGGATGTTCAAACAAAAATGCAATGAGAAGTTCCCAGGTCGCATCATCTCTCGAAACAGCGAAGTTTATTGGCCACCACGATCGTGAGACTTGACGCCTTTAGATTTCTTCCTTTGGGTTCATCTCAAAAGTAAGGTCTATGCCAACAAGCCAACAACAATTCAGCAGCTGAAGGATGATATAATAAGACATATTGGTGAGATCGAGGAGCAACTATGCAGAGACGTCATCAAAAATTTTGACCATCGAGTGGAGGTGTGCCACTGAAGCCTTGGCGGACATTTGGGTGATATTATTTTTCGCACATAATTGCCATGACTTAAAATAACATGATCCAATAGAGAAATAAACTATTATTTAACAATAACACTGATTTATTTATTGCTGACTTTGATCCGTCTTAATTAAACACCCTTTAGAAGAATAACATCTATAGACATTGGACGAACAACCATAGTGTTCACATTGAACAAAGACGTTAAAATAACTATCAACAAATTCCATCATTCCCCAACAAATTTTGGACAGTTGGAAGACCTGCAACAAATTCGTGAGTTAACAAAGGAGTGGAAGTTTTGCAAGGGAATGATAGATATTTATAAAGTTACTGAAAATGAGAAACCACATTAATTTGCAGTCGAAAGAGCTCTGATGTTGATGACAATACACCTATATAATATAAAATACAAATATACGGGATTTCCCCGTTATCCGAGAGTAGAGTTGTAATATCTTAAGACGAGGAAGTACTGACAATTAATTAATATATTAATCATTATCAAACATTTCCAGACACTAAAAAATAATTTTGCATGATTTCATTGATTTATCGTTTTCTACGGTTTATCAACCCATTACCGGTTATTTAAAGCCAGAAAATATTTTTTTTAAGATTGTAAGATTTTTTTTTTTTTTTTTTTTGGTTTGTATAAGTCTTACTAATTAATCCATAGCTTGGGGAGGAGAAATGAATTCATACATTTCTCAAGAGTATTTGCGCGTAAGTAAATAAAACGGACCCAACTGGAATTGGAGCTCCGTTTAACAATCACCATAACATCACCCGCACATCTGAGCTTACAGCAACTGCTGTTCCCAAGCGATCACCCATATATGTACTACTGATCAGGCTCGACGTTGCTTAACTTCGGTGATCGTACGGGAACAGGTGTTTCAACAGGATGTGGCCGTAAACCAAGTTTGCGTATGATTTTCGTGCAACGATCATAGAAAGGTAAAAATTATTGTGATCTTGAAAGAATCCAATATATATAACAATAATAAACAATTCCTTTAGAATGATTTATAAATCTAATTACAAAAAAAAAAATTAACAAGTCAATTACAACCAAATTAAGCAATCATCTATGTACGAAAATATCTATTATTTGAGATTCTGCATCCTTGAATACAGGTAAAATTTATTACACGTTAGTATCACAAAACTCGCTGTTTATTCGCATTCGATATAGCTTTCAAAAATTAACCACACTTCTAAAACATTAATGAGAAAATATACAATTATATTTTTCGCACATACCCTTGCTGCTGATCACTTGTGCTAACTGAATGCTAGAAAGATCCATTAATTTTGACCAATTTATGCCCGTACAACAACCATATTTGCGAAAGAACTTTACTACACTAGAAAAAAAAATCGAACACTGAATTTAATAGACACAAAATACCTATTAAAGTTATACACACTCACATGCTCACGCGGGCACGCACACATATGTGTATATATCACTTTAGTAAGCGATTTGCAGGTCGGGAACACTAGCATCAAGCAGACGCAGAAGTTTAAATACCTGGGAAGCGTCTTGACAGAGAACGGTAAGCGCGACACTGAGATCCGTAAACGTATTAGGGTGGCCAAGGACGCATTCCAAAAGCTGGGCAGAGTATTGCGAGATAGGAGGATTTCTTTGGTAACAAAGAAAAGAATACTGAGCTGTTACGTGACAGCTGTCCTTCTTTACGGCAGCGAATGTTAGACGATTTGCCTCAAAGATGAAGAAGAGAGTCAAGGCGACGGAGATGTGGTTCTACAGAAGGATGCTAAGGATATTATGGGCCGAGCGTGTGAGCGACGACGGGATCTTAGAGAGGATGCAAACAAAGAGAAGCCTTATGCTTAACATCTGGAAGAGTTAGCGGAAGTTCCTGGGACACAGGAGGAAGGAGGGTCTGGAGAATCTGATACTCACGGGTCGAATAGAGGAAAAACGAGACAAAGGAAAACAACGCGTGACATACCTGGCGGGCTTAAGCAAGTGGTTGATAGCACGTGGTCTGGGAGAGGAAGAAGAGGGAAGGAACTTGTTGAGAGCTGCAATAGATAGAGTGAGGTGGAGAGCCACGATCGCCTACGTCCTGAAAGGACATGTCGTATAAAAAGAAAGAAAGAAGGGATTTCTAGGTCAGTTGATATTAATTTCATAGACTAAAATAAAAGTAATGTCAACTTAAGTCTACCCAATAAACAAATAACGTCTATAGTAATAAAGAATATACATTTATATGTATTTATATATACATATATGAAACATTTATCAGAATTAACCAATAGAAAAAAACAAGGACACATGGCACAGTGGATAAAGGCATTAGTTAGATCCAGTGACAGGACCCAAACAGTGTGGGTTCAATACCTGGTTAAAGCAGTGGAGAACTTGGAGAGGGGAATTAACAGGAGATAACTGATAACTGACATCCATTAAACAATGTACGTGGAACTAGAACAGTCTACCCCAGTGAGCGAAATAAAGGGTTCAGTTCGACATTCCAACCACCTGAAGAAGGCCGGAGCGTACAACGAAACGTTGTAATAAATATGGCTACAAAGATGAGGAAAATAGTCTGAATAATGTAAATAAGGTAAAAGACAATGGGAAAACTGTATTATTAGCCGACGTGTTTCGTCCAATGTGGACATTTCAACGCAAAAAAAAAAGAAATTAATTTATTAAATACAAAGTAACTATTAACAACAAACAAAATGCTATTGCATTCATATTGTCAACTGAAAAATACGTCAAGTATTTTCGCGTCTAGAAATATTTCTAATTCCTTTTGATTTCTTGATATAGTTATGTAGGTTGGCTTGGGAGAGTAGTAATTCTGTTAGGAAAGGTGATATCGGGAAAAAGTCATATACATATATTTACATGCCACTTGCGTAACTGCGTTCCAAACAAAAACATATACATAAATAATAATTGCATCGGACATAAACTATATGCCGAGCAAAAAGACATACTTTGCATTTCTCGGATTATAGCTCCATTAGGATCCATTTAAATACACACAGAGACACACCAACTTCCATCCGAGACATACTCGTAAATAATACCAGCATAATGCACTCATCTCAATACAGAAAGTGCTTAAAACAATAGAAGAGTTGACAATAAAAAAGACGAAACGAACTCTCAATAAAATTAATGATGAACACGACCACAATGTGCCGATCGTGTTCATACTGCTCTAAAATTATGTACATCGCATCCTATATAATGGCTAATAGATTAGCCGAAAGCGCTCGGATCTACAGATAATTTGTGTCTTTACACACAATATGTCTAAAAATAAGAAATCATTTGTATGAATGCAAGGTAGATATAATAAAAAGCTTAATCGCATGTACAAAAGGAGGATTAATGCCCAAATACAAAATTATAGATATATAACACAGGTGGGTGTTTGTGTGTACGTCTTTATATATATATATATATATATATATATATATATATATATATATATATATATTTCACTTCAAAAGTTATTTTCGTTTATACCCGTATTTGAGTTGACGTTCCATTTAATCTCAACCTGTATTTATTTCCTTTACCGATCTGCGTACTCAAGAAAAAATTAACAAAAATGTTTGATTTTCTTTATTAAGTTTAATTTGATATTAAAATAAAAATATTAAAACTAAATCTAAACTAAAATGGAGTGTCTACGCAAATACGGGTATACACTAAAAATGACTCTTCAAGTAATATATATATATATATATATATATATATATATATATATATATATATTGAGTATTTAGGCAGCAATCATTCATTTATACCTGTTCCATTAAAGACGACAGACAAGTTACTAGGATTAATGTTTTTTTTATCTAATTTTACTTGTCTTTGAACCAGTCGACAAACTGTCGAAATGTTCTGTAATAGCCGAAAGCGCTCGGAATTACAGAACGTTTTGACAGTTTCTGCAAACTGTGTCTAGAAAAGAAAACACTTGTTCGAACAAAAGAAAAATTAAATAAAAAATCTTTAATGAAATATATATATATATATATATATATATATATATATATGAAAAATTTCTCAGGGTTAACTGTATTATTTCCTATTGCCTTATACATTTATAGATATTGTCTTTTTCTACAGGTTAACCCTGAGAAATTTTTCATATATATATATATATATATATATATATATATATAGATAGATAGATAGATAGATAGATAGATATAGATATGTGTGTGTGTGTGTGTGTGTGTGTGTGTGTGTGTGTGTGTGTGTGTGTGTAAGTAACAACTACCTCAAAACACGGCCAAACGTTGCCATAGTTGCGCAAGACAATATAAGAGCCTAGCCAGGCTAAGAAGCCACATTCTCTCTGCCCATATTTAAGGACGGAACAAGCAATGCCAGTGCTCAAGATCGGTTCATCATATATATATATATATATATATATATATATATATATATGACATAATGATATATAAATCTTTATATATCAAGAATAATATGGGGGAAATATTTGATAAAGTGGAAAAGTTTTTGTGTGACACGTTTCGTCCTTTAGGACTTCATCTGACTAAATTTGTTATGTTGTTGCGACTACACGTGCGCATCAACGAGCCTTGCTGGGAATTTTAAATTTAATATTTGTTTTTTTTTTATAAAATCTAACCGATTTCATTTTGTTTCTTTTTCTTTTTGATTCCAATAATTTTGTTATTAGATATCTCAGACTGTGATAAACAAGATCTGCCAAGAATGGTAAAATGTAAGAATCACGGTACAAATTACTGTGTATGACATTGCGAACAAGCCACTCTGTTAGGGCTAAGGCGAAAATGTTTAAAGATTGTATTGATAATTCCTTAATCACCAGATTTTGCTCCATCTGACTTCTTCCTGTTTCCTAAACGTGGTCACCATTTTGAAAACAATGATGAGATCATATGTGCCGTGTTGGGCTTGCAATGATTAAGCATCTTTGGACCAAGTCGGGGGGGGACTATATGGAAAAATAAAGAAAAATTGTCTTGCTTCTCGAACTCCTTCTGAGTGAGGCTTAGAACTTTTTGAACGACCCTCGTGTGAAAGGAGGAAGTACCACCATGATAGGATTTTTCTCCAAGAACTGCCACTTGGCTGGGTGCTTTTCTGAACAGTACAATATTCACCTTTTCATATCAAGAGTTAATCATTATCTCCCTTCCTCATCCTTATAATCTCCCTTCCTTACCCCTTTCTCTTTCCATTGGTATCATGCACCTTATTCATCATTACCATTTCGAATGTAACCCTCTATATTTATCTATTCATTTATTTTCTACGGCTTATCATCTCTTTGAAGGTTATTAAAGCCATAAAATATTTTTATGTTGTCAGTATTGTTATTTCTTTTAGATAATAATGGATTAGTGATACAATTCTTACTAATTAAGTGGTGGATTCATGCCTTTCCTAATGGCATTTGCGTGTATGTGTATGTAAAGAACGCAACAGGAACTAGAACTCGTCTCACCGATTAACAATTCCGAGCAATTATCCATTACACCACCCGCACATCCCAGCTTACAGCATATGGTATTTACAAGCAGTCACCCATCTACCTCCTGACCAGACTGGACGTTGTTTAACTTCAGCGATCGTACGGGAATCACTGTTTCAACGTGATGTGTCTGTTAGCCCTCTAAATTGCTTGGTTCTTGAGCTTTGTATTGCGAGATATTTAGTATAAAATTTTTTTTTTTTTTTCCTCAAAAAGGAACCAAAACCCACTCGATCTTCATTCTTGGATAATGATCAAACTTAAAACGAAAGGACTATCTTAGAATGAGTTCTGTGAACTTCAAGATGGCAGATCTGCTAAAAGTTAAGATTGCTATAACTGAACTTGAATAAATTTGCTTTCATTTCCATTTTATCTCACATT